TTTTTTTTTTTTTTTTTTGGCCGTTTGTTTTGCAAATTGCGCTCTTTTAGTTCATAGTTATGTGACAACATATTTATGCAAGTGTGACGCTTTGGCGGCAGGCGGGTGTGTGGGCACTTGGCGCTTAACCACACAACTGTGGCCAACTGAAACGGTTTTCACCTTTGCAGAGGCAGATGCAGATTCCAGGGTTCGATCCCCAGACCTTACCTTACCCATGTACAGTATCGAGTTGACCCACGAGTGTTTGAACCCGTGACCTCTGTTTCGTTAGTTGTCGTTTGTCTGTCGCAGGACTGTGTAGATGTAAGGAACGATCTGTAGGTCTGTCGAGTAGGGGTCACAGCCTTGTAGAGGTCGTAGCTATAGGCATTCTGAAATGTCAAGGTTGTAGCTGCTACAGTCCTGAAAGGTCAAGGTCGTAGCTGCTACAGTACCCGAAAGGCCAAGCCCACAGACTTCTGGAAGTTTCGGAAGCAGCCTTTCGAAGTTTGTCTCACGTTTAGACAGATGCAAGTGGGCAAGTGGTGAGCCCAACTGCGTTACGTCGGCAGTGCGACTACATCGAGTTGGCAGTGCAAACCCATGCATTCAGCGGTACCGGTCCAGTCCGTCCCAGTCCAGTCCAGCAAGTACCAAGAGGGACTGAATGCACCATGGGCCGATGGAAAGGAGCAGACCAACGAGTTATAGAAGTATAAATCAAGAGGCAGCGCTCAGCCATACATTCATTCGCTGCGTAAGCCATGTGGAAGCGCTACTACAGCGTCTTGTGCGAAGGTCGTCTGCAGGTTGCCCGAGGTAGAAGTGGGCTAAAGGGAGACATACTAGCCATAGTAGTAGTGGCGAGCTGCCATACCCGCCGTAGGGTAGAAGTAGCTGATAGAGTGTGCGTGTGTGGAGTATTCAGGGTGATCCAGAGTGAGCATGTGCAAGCAGTGGTGTCGGACACAGTGACGAGAGTGGGATGTACAGGTGCTGGCGCGCCATAGCCTGTTGAAGTGAATTTGCAACTGAACCCTGTTCTCGTTATCCATATCTCTGAGCTTTGAGTGGGCGCTCTACGCGAGCGTGAATCGCCGTCTGTTTGCATGTATGCAAAGTGGAAAAGAAAACAAGTCTGATTGCGGCTATGGTCTTGAGGAAGGACCCAGCGGTCCGGTAGCTCAGGAGGGGAGCTACGCGGCCGTTGCAGCCCGCGGGGAGGGCGACAAGGACGAGGTCGTGGCCGAGGAAGAGGAGGCCGCGGACGTAGTGGAAGAGGACCCGGTACCCAAAGGTAGCTACTACGCGGGTGGAAGGGGTTATGGTCCCTCGCAAGGTGGCCGTGGTTTCAATTSTGCCTGGGGAAGAGGAAGAGGCACGTGGTACAACAATTGGGACAAGCCATACCCACCTCATCCAGGTCTACCCGAAGGGGGACCTTGGAAGAAACTGGGAATTACAAAGAAAGTTTGGCAGGAAAGGAAAGCTGCCGACCAGTGCCTTAAGTGTGGGGACCCCGACCACATTGTCCCTTATTGCCCTGACTACAAGATGGCAAAAGGGAACAGCCAGTGGAGGTCCCAGTTGCCTCTACAGGGACTTCGGATGTTGAAAAAAAGAAATCCTCCCATTCGAAGGTCCCATTGGCAGAAACTGAAGAGGTAGACAGTCCCCATCTAGTACACTGTCCAGAGGTGGCAAGCGTATGCATCTCTCTAGATGGATCCCTCGCTGGCATGGGTGATGAGTTGGCCGCCCGTCGCCAAGCCTGGACTAAAATGAAGAAACAAAAAGGACAGTTAATAATTGCAAATCTAAAAGTGAATAAAGTAAGAGTTTGAGGTATGATTGATAGCGGATCAACTCACAGTTATATCAGTAAGAAAGGATTGCAAACGTTGCGTCTCGGGCTTAAGGTAAAGCAATTGACTGAGCCCGTAATAAGTAAATTAGCTAATAATACAGTAACGGTAATGGATAGATATGTTGAAGGGGTTAAGATATACTTCCGGCTAGAAGCAGAGGGGAAGGTGGAACGCGTTCTCCACTCTCTGACTCTCTTGGTGGAGGATAATCTTCCTTTTGACATTCTCTTAGGAATGGATTGGAAGGAAGCTGCAAATGCGGATATAAAGATGAGGGATCATGAGTGTTGGCTCCCTAGTCCGCAAGGTGGAAAGAAGAGAATCCGCCTATTCCACGAGTCAAGTAAGGAAAGCAGCTTGGCTCATTGTTGTATGAATGCCCCCGTGTTCGCCCGCCATGTGAAGAAATATAATTTGTATGATCAAGTTTTTATTGCATTTGTGCGCCCAGTAACCGAAGGTGAAGCTAAAGAAGAGGCCAAGTCCCCAGAAGTTGAGAAAATTATGAAAGAGTTTGCAGATGTGGCAGAAGCCCCAAGCGGTGTAGTTGAGAGACCAATCAAACACCGTATTGATATCATTCCAGGAAGCCAAATTCCTGAGGGGCCTATATATAGAATGTCACCTAAAGAATTAGATGAACTGCGAACCCAGCTTGACGAAATGTTGGAAAAAGGATGGATAAGGCCTAGCTCCTAGCCCTACGGTGCGCCTGTGCTATTTGTGTCGAAAAAAGATGGTGGGGTGCGCATGTGTATAGATTACAAATGGTTAAATGATATAACCGTAAAAAATGTTGAGCCACTACCACGAATAGACGATTTGTTGGATCGGGTGCAGGGTTGCAAATATTTCACGAAGATTGATTTGAAATTTGGCTACCATCAGATTGAGGTAGAACCAGAAGACCAACACAAAATTGCCTTCCGAACAAGGTATGGGCACTATGAGTTCATTGTGTTGCCCTTTGGTCTTACGAATGGCCCTGCAACTTTCCAAAGAACTATGAATGAACATTTTCGTGAATGGCTTGATAAATTCGTCGTTATATATCTCGACGATATTTTGGTTTTTAGTAAAGATTTAAAAGAACATTGCGAGCACCTTCGACTTGTGCTAAATAAATTGCGTGAGGCAAAATTGAAACTGAACCCAAAGAAGTGTGAATGGGCTAAGCGTCAGGTTTTATATCTAGGGCATGTACTTGATGGTGATGGAATCAAACCAAAAGACACGAAAATTGCGGCAATTCGCGATTGGCCTAACCCCCGCACCTTGACGGAGTTGCGGTTGTTCCTTGGGCTAGCCAATTATCATCGAAAATTCGTGCGACATTTCACGATAATAGTTGCGCCCCTTCGCAGATTACTCAAGA